CGCCGCCATCCCGAGGCCAGCGCCTCCCTGGCCCGCAAGGGCACGCGGCCGCCGCGCGGTCACAGCTTCCAGCTGCGTCCCTCGGGCTGGGCCCCGGCGCCGCGAGCCCCGGAAACGAAGCCCCAGCGACACCGGAAGTCGCGGTCGCCGCTTCCGGTGACGACGTTGTCATGGAGCGACGCCGTCCCGCTGCCTTCTGGGTAATGAAGTTACGTCTGCACCTCTCGGAGAGGGACGGGTCTCCGCTGACCAGTACTCCGCGGCCCGGGCAGCTGTTAAGGGTGTCCCGAGGCTGTGAGGGAGGAGAAGGAGCCTGGATACTCTTACGTGGGGCACACGCTTGGGCTCTAGAGGATCTGTTGTTTCAGATGCTCTTCAGGGCGTAAGTAAGCTAACTCTATGTTCACGTTACTCTACACCTCAACATCCTTCCACACAGGCTGTTAGCACCTTCCCAGATTGCATCAGTGTGATAGACTGGTGCCTGCCACAAGGTCCTCTCTTGCTCGCCCTTGACTGACCTGGAGACACTCCAAAGCGCCAGAAGGCTCTCCTTCATTTTCACTCCTAATGCCTTCGCTCAGGTCCTCACCTGATCCTCTCCCCAGGTCGTACCCTCCCTGTTCTCCTGGGACTTGGGAGTTCAGGAAATCCTTAGCTTTCGGGTGTGTCTGTGAATGTAATTTCGGGCCCTATAGCAGTGCTTCTTAAAGACCGAGCAAGGACACCGCCAACATTACAGAATATCGTAATAGTCACTTGGATGAAAAGTACACTCATTCATACCTGTAAACTAAAACACTTTCCATGCTCTTCAGATACCAGCCTGAGCTTTAACACTGGCTTTGTGAGTTTGTTGGTCAGGTCAAGAGAGAAAAAGCTCACACAGGGCCATGACAGGGAGGCTGAGGAAGAGATATGAGGCATCCTTGAAACAGGTGGAAAAGTATGAAAACATTGTTTCTCATACATTTCTGGATGAATATATGAAGCTTCTCAAGATTAGGTGTGGAATATAAAGAGTGGATTTAATTTGGATAAGATGAGATGAATAACATATAATTTAAGCTTTTATCATTCCAAATATATATAGGTAGATAGATAGAGATATTCTGCCCTTTCTCTTATTTTTAACAGAATATGTTTCCCAAAACGGCTTTTGCAATTTTCTCATCAATAATACATAAACATACTATTTTTATGTTTTTCATTATGATAGTTTTACATCACTGTGACAAAAAAAAAAAAACAAACAAGAAAGCAAGTTAAAGGAGGAAAGGTTTATTGTGACTCATAGTTTCAGAGGTTTTAATCTGTGATCCATGCACTACATTACTTGTGCCTGAATTGAGGCAGAACATTATGGCAGGTGGAGTGGGTGGAAGAGGAAGCTGTTTACATCATGGCACCAAGGAAGGAAGATGGGGGAAAAGATCTAGTCCCCAAGGGCATGTCCCCAAAAACCCACTCCCTTCAACTAGGTGTCACCTCCTTAGTGGTCATCCCCTACCAGTAGCTCTTTCAATTATGACACATCAATGGACTAATCCATTAACAAGTTTAGATTCCTCTTGATCCAATCAGTTCACCAAAATCCACTTCTGAAAAATACTGTATTGGGGAATCAAGCCTTCAATGCGTGAGACTTTCACAGACAGTCCAATTCAAAACTGTAGCTCAGAATATCTTCAGAAGAGACCTAGAATAGCAAAAGCAGTTTTGGGCAACAAAGGCATCATAATCCCTGACTTGAAATTATACTACAAAGCTACTGTGATAAAATCAACATGGTACTGGAAAAGAAAAACAACAGACCTGAGGATCAATGGAACAGAATAGAAGATGCAGATGCAACCCCAAACCTACTCAGCCACCTTATCTCTGACAAAGGGGCCAAATATGTTCACTAGAAGAAAGTCTCTTTAAATGGCACTGGAAAAACTGGCTTTCAACATGCCGAAGAGTAAAACTAGACACATGTCTGTCTATCACCATGCACTAAACTAAAGTCAAAATGGATCAAAGACATAAGTATTAAAAGAAACACTAAATCTGCTGGAGGAGAAAGTAGGTAAAAATCTTGAAGACATAAGTGTAGGGGGAAATTCATAAATAAAACCCAGACTGCGTGGAAAATACTAGTAAGAATCAACAAATGGGATCTCACCTTATTAGAAAGAAAAAAAGAAAGAATGAAAGAAAGAAAGTCACCAACACAGTGAGAAGCTAACTCACAGAGGGGAAAAATTATAGCCAGTTGTCCCTCAGACAGAGGAATTATATCTAAAACATATAAAGAATAGAGGGGCTGGGGATTTAGCTCAGTGGCACAGTGCCTGCCTGCCAGGCACAAGCTCATGAGTTTGATTCCCGATACTGGAAAAAAAACAAAAACAAAACAAAACAAAAGAAATCAACGTATAAAGAATAGACAAAATCAGGCCCACAAAATTCAAAGGCCCTATCCAAAATGGGCAACTGAGATAAATACGCACTTCTCAGATGAAGAAATACAGATGGCAAATAAATATATGAAAACATGTTCAACATTACTGGTCATTTGAGAGATGCAAATTAAAATAACACTGAGATTCCATCTCACCCCAGAAGGAATGGTTATCATCAAGAAATCAACTAATTACAAATGCTGGTGGGACTGTGGAGGAAAAGGAGCCTTCTCCACTGTTAGTGGAAGTGTAGACTGGGGCAACCACTGGAAATCAGTGTAGAGAATCCTCAAAATACTAAGATTAGAGGTCCCATTCAACCCAACTATTCCCCTTCTGGGTATCTTCCCAGAAGAGTTAAAAACATCACACCACAACAATATATGTGCACCCATGTTTACAGCAGCACAATTTCTAGTAGCTAAATCTTGGAAACAACACAAATGCCCAACAACCAAGGAATGAATAAAAAAGATGTGATCTTTTTATACAATGGAATACTACTCTGCCATAAAGAAGGATGAACTTAAGACTTTTATAGCTAAATGGATGCAACTTGAGGCTGTACTCATAAGTGAAATACTCACGTGTAAACATTGTATCACCTGTGTAGTATGAGAAGCTGAATGAGTCAATAAAATCCAAAATGTACAATAGATATTGTGAATATATCTTGTACTCTGAGTAACTACTTTGAAAACATCAATATGCAATGTAGTAACCATTATTACTCTCCTATTATTTTGTTATGAAATTTTGTGTTCTTCTCTTTAAAATAAAATTTTAGAAAAGAGTATCTTCAATAACTACTTAGTCAGCGATCCATCACTGTGATGAAATACCTGAAAATTTCAACTTAAAAAATACCTGAAAATTTCAGCTTAAAAAAGGAAACTTTGGCTCATAGTTTCAGAGATTTTGGTTTGTGATTGTCCTCTTCAGTCTCTTTGGGCCTGTGACAACAGAGCGTCATGGTGGGAAATGTGACAGAGCAAAGTTGTTTGCCTTCTGGAAGCTGAGAAGCAGAGAGAAAAAGAATCTCCCTCTCCTTCTCCCTCTCTCTCTCTTCTTTGCCCTCTTCTTGTCTCTTTGTCTCTCTCCATCTCTCCTTCAATACCCCTTTCAAGAGCATGCCCACAGTGAACTGACTTCCTCCAACTAAGCCCCACTTCCTGAAGGTTCTATCTCCACTCATAGCTCCATCAGCTGAAGACAGACCTTCACAGTGAGTCACTGGGGGTTATTTAAGATCCATGCCAAAACACTGCTTCTTGATAGCTCTCTATTGATAGTTGCTTTGATGTTGTTAATTTATCAAAGAGAGTCTCATTAAACATGTAAATGTAAGTATTCTGGCTATAAAATAACATGGACTTTTCATTAACTGTTTTAGCTCACCTTCTGCAGCTCAACTCAACAATCACAAATTGGGGACTGTAGGTATAAAAAGATTTAAAACGTGGATCACAGAAATATCTTATAGGCTGAATTGAGCAGAACAAGAACAGAATAACAACAAAAAAGAAAAGTGGCCTGAATGCACACTTCGATATCACTCAGATGCAAAGTTCATGCTTTCAGCCACAAACAAATATTATCCAAGATTTCTTTATCTATAAGTAAAACAAATCTTTCAAGCCAATTTTATGGGCTTCTGAATATACAGTCAGGGAACAAAGAAAAAATTCATCTAGCACCAAAGTAGGTGAAATAGAGAAAAAGTATATGTTCCAAACATGCCAAGCCCAACATTGCTTTTTATTTATATATTTTAACTAAATTCCTTGGTATAGTTTCTGTTTTTAAATCTTACACTTACCCAAAGAGAAGGACTAATTACTAATTTTTGCTGCCATTACAGTAGCTACAGTAGAGTCAGCTCACATATGCACAAGGGCATCTTATCCCCAACTTGAATATCTATGATACTGCAAGGTCTTCTGCAGGCTGAAATCATTATCATTGTACCTATAAGTGCAGTGCCCATCTCTCAAGGGAATTTGAGATGATCTGGGGGAAATATATTTGTAAAAGTTGAAAAGCACTAAGAGAACTGAAAATTATGATAAACAGCATGAATCTAGGCTGGGACCTTGGCCATGTGAGAATGTTGTCTACAAAATGTAATTATTTTCTCACTTTTGAAAACACTGAAAAATGCTCATTAGGCAAAAGAGGATTTTGAGAAATATTGCCATCAATGTAAAAAAAAGAATAGGAAATTAAGGCCCCCACACCCATTCATATTCCAAACAAATGTTCAGAGTATCCACCGGGTTACAAACTCTGCTGTAAGTGCCTGGGACAAACCAGGAACTAAAAGAGATGAAGAATCCTGCTTTCCCAGAGTTATGCTGTATTCATCTTGGTCAATTCACGCTGCTATAACAAAATGCCATATATTAGGTGGCTTAAACAACAAGTGTTTATCATGTTCTAGGAGATGGGAAATCTAAGAATGAAGCCCCAGCCATTTTGGTTTTTGGCAAGACCTCTGTGATAGTCAGCTTTCTACTGCTATAACAGAATAGTCTGCTCATGAGGAAGAAATGTTTATTTTGCTCATAGTTATGGAGATTTCAATCCGCGATCAATTGGTCCCATTGTGTTCGGGCCTCTAGTACGGCAACACACTGTGGCAGACAGAATGTGGTGAAACAAAACTACAACGGCAAAACCGTAGGTGTGTGACCACAC